TATATATATATATATATATATATATATATATATATATATATATATACGCAGTTGTAAAGAACTGCAGGCTCCTGTCTGATTTTATTTAACATGATTTCAGTCAGTGTGTTTTGTGAACTTCCCATTTTAGGTGAAATTCGTTTAATTGTAAACTAAACATTAAAAAACAAACACTCCCTGCTTTTATAAAAGTCACCATAAACTGAGTAAAGGCGGGTAGTTTATCTGATTATTGTGGTGAACTTTACCAGGAAGACAACATTGAATGAAGGTTATGTTTGAGTTGCGTACACATCAAACAGCGACTTCCTTCCTATAATCGTCTCGATGTTCGCCAACAAAACTGTTTCAAAGTCTCTTTTTTTATCTCTGGTCAAATAAAAACCAGGTGATTGCATTTCGAGTCGTTGGGACATCGTAATTTGTTTTCTTCGGCTTCAGCTCATTCTTAGAAGAAGGGAGATAACGACACAGTTTCGGTTTGAAGCAGAAACAGGGAGCAGCAGCTCCGAGCTTCACCAGCGAGCTAACAGCTAACAGTCTGTTAGCTCGCTTAGTCACTTTTATAAACTACGACACAAGAAGACAAGGCTTCCAAACGCGACAAGAGGCGTTAATACACCCACACAAACTACAACACGTAGGTCAGAAACGACAGCAACATTATTAAATCATGAAACAAAATGACAGCGGACGGATATGTTACCGTGTCAGTCGGCCCTTCTTGTTGACAAGAACTTCCGCATGATGCATGGCTGGAGGGGGCGGGGCTTAGGCCAGTGACGTTGCCAGGTCTGTTTTTCCTCATTCATAAGAAACTATAAATACAGTTTATTCCCCTATTTTTATGATAAGTTTAAATATTTGGAAACACTAAAATTACATGTAGCTGTAGACGCTGCAGGCCGGTTCAAGGTGGATTCTGAAGGCTGAAGTGTTTGGTTTTTACCAGCAGGTGTCCGTGCAGACTGCCACACATCCACCACTCATAAAAAGAATGATGGCTAAAAACAAATGCCTTCATTGTTTTATTTTTTCAAAGATAATACACAGAAAATGCACAAAATAAAACAATAAAAACTGTATTCATAACATATAATAAGTTGTTAATTTTTTTTAGAGTTTCATTGTTCAGTAACTTTCATTCAACCTTTATTTAGACAGGCAAATCCCATTGAGCCTCGAGGACTCAATTACAAGAGAGACCTGAAAAAAATAAAAATCATTCATTCAAATAACAACAAATAATACCTAATATCTGCCAGAGTTGCTAGTTCGACTCAGCAGAATGTTTTTGTTTTCATTATTAATCACTTGACACAGACACAGATGATACAGCGGTGGTGGGATGCATCACAAACAATGATGAGTCCAGCTACAGGCAAGAGGTGGAACACCAGGAGAGCTGGTGCAGGAAGAACAGCCTTCACATCAATGTGAAGAAGACAAAGGAGATGGTCCTGGACTTCAATCAAAATAAACACACCTACCCCACTCTTTGCAGAGAGTGGTGAAGGCTGCACAGAAGTATGTTGGAGTCAGTCTCCCCACCATCACAGACATTTGCACCTCCAGATGCAGGAAGAGAGCCACCTGCATCATGAAGGACCCCACTCACTCAGCTCATACACTTTTTGCCCCGCTCCCCTCAGGCAGAAGGTTGAGGAGCATTAATATATTAATAAAAACTGCGGTGTTTTCATCATTGTATGTTCTCATACAATGGTGAAATTAGTTCTCTGTATTTAACCCATTTCACCTGAGATACATCCAGATGGAGCAGTGGGCAGCTATGTTAAGTGCCCGGGGAGCAATTGGGGATTAGCTGTCCTGCTCAGAGGTACCACGTGGAAATGGTTGGGGATCGAACCTGGGACTTTCGGATCCCAAGCTGGCTGCCCCACCTCTACCCCATACCAGCAGACTGAGTAACAGCTTCTACCTTGAAGCCGTTAGACTTATAAATCCATAACCAGGATAATCACTGTAAGGAGAAGAAAATCACTGTAATGCCACTTTAATTGGTGACTTATCTGTGCTGCTGATTATCTCATGCTGCTGATCTCATGCTGCTGTATTCATACCCATCTGCTCACCACAGACTCATATTCGTGCTGCTGTTGTTACACCGTGCTGTTTTACATCCATCCATCCATTTTCTTCCGCTTATCCGGGGTTGGGTCGTGGGGGTAGCAGTTTAAGTAGGGAGGCCTAGACTTCCCTCTCCGCAGCCACTTGGGCCAGCTCCTCCGGGAGAATCCCAAGGCGTTCCCAGGCCAACCGAGAAACATAGTCCCTCCAGCATCTCTTCACCACAACAGACCGGTATAGTGCCCACTTCACTGCAGAAGCTGCACCTATCCGCCTATCGATCTCATGCTCCATTTTTCCCTCATTCATGAACAAGACCCCAAGATACTTGAACTCCTCCACTTGGGGCAGGGCTTCGTCCCTGACTCGGAGAGGGCACTCTACCCTTTTCCGGCTCAAGACCATGGCCTCGGATTTGGAGGAACTGATCTTCATACCGGCTGTGTCGCACTCGGCTGCGAACCGCTCCAGCGAAAGCTGTAGATCACGATCTGATGAAGCCAATAGGACCACACCATCTGCAAAAAGCAGAGACACAATCCTAAGGCCACCAAAACGGATCCCCTCAACACCTTGGCTGCGCCTAGAAATTCTGTCCATAAAAGTTATGAACAGAATCGGTGACAAAGGGCAACCTTGGTGGAGTCCAACTCTCAGCGGGAACGAGCCTGACTTACTGCCGGCGATGCAGACCAGGCTCTGACACCGGTTGTACAGGGACCTAACAGCCCGTATCAAAGGGCCCGGTACCCCATACTCCCAGAGTACCCCCCACAGGGTTCCCCGAGGGACGCGGTCGAACGCCTTCTCCAAGTCCACAAAGCACATATAGACCAGTTGGTCAAACTCCCACGCACCCTCCAGGACCCTGCTGAGGGTTTAGAGCTGGTCCAGTGTTCCATGACCAGGACGAAAACCGCACTGCTCCTCCTGAATCCGAGGTTCGACTATCCGACGGACCCTCCTCTCCAGAACCCCCGAATAGACCTTACTAGGGAGGCTTAAGAGCGTGATCCCCCTGTAGTTGGAACACACTCTACGGTCCCCCTTTTTGAATAGGGGGACCACCACCCCGGTCTGCCAATCCAGGGGAACTTCCCCTGATGTCCATGCAATATTGCAGAGTCGTGTAAGCCAACACAACCCTACAACATCCAGAGCCTTCAGGAACTCTGGGCGAATCTCATCCACCCCCGGGGCCCTGCCACCGATGAGCTTTTTAACCATCTCGTGACCTCAGCACCAGAGATTGGAGGGCCCGACCCAGAGTCCCCAGGCTCCGCATCCTCAGTGGACATTATTAGTGTAAAACAATGTCAGTGTGTCTAAAACATTTTATATGTTTAAAAAGATGATTAAGTTAAAATTGTTAGTAAAAGTATATCATGTGAAGAATGTCTGATGTTTTTTTGTTTTTGCTTTGGGGATTGTTCAAGTGGGCAGCACAGTGGCACAACTGGTAGAGCTGCTGCCTCTCGACAAGCAGGTCCCTGGTTCAAATCCCAATCCGGGGGCCTTTCTGGGTGGAGTTTGCATGTTCTGTCCGTGCATGCGTGGGTTTTCTCTGGGTCCTGTTTCCTCCCACAGACCCAAAACATGCATGTTAGACTGATTGGTAACTCTAAGTTGTCCCTAGGTGAGAAAGTGAATGGGTGTTTGTCTCTATATGTCCCTGTGATGGACTGGAGACCTGTTCAGGGTGTCCCCCGCCCCTCGCACAGTGATGGCTGGACATGGGCACTGGCGAACCCCATGACCCAAAATGGAAGAAGCAAAAGATAATGGATGGATTGTTCAAGCCTGAGTTGTTGTTTGTAGTTATTTTATATATATTTTTAAAAATAAGGGACAGATATAAGAATTTTCTTCTTCTTTCTGCACCCTTTTCATTCAATGTTTTTTTTTCTTTTAAATGAATTTGTTTTGTTTCTTTTTTCCCCTTTTAAATGAATGAATAAATAATATATATTTTTTCCCTTTCAGCTGCTCCCTGCATTAGGGGTCGCCACAGCGAATTAAGTTGCATGAAGACTTGGCAGTTATTTTTACGCCGGATGCCCTTCCTGACACAACCACAGACCACGAGCTACCACAGCCCTCTGTGTGGAGCAGGGAGCTGCTATCTAGGACACCCGGAGGAGCAGATGGTGGGGGTTAGGGGCCTTGCTCAGGGGCCCAGAGTGGGGCGAATCAGGGTGGGGGCAGGGGGCACCTTCTCTAACCTCTGCGCCACCACTCCCCATTATTTAATGAATAAATAAAATAAATAAATAATACATTTCAATGGAAATATTAATTTTTTTATTATGAACGTTTTATGTTGGACTGGTTCAAAACAAAATAAAGCTTGAACGTGTATACAATTTTAAAACGGCAGCGACAAACTGCTGTTCGTGTTTCGTCACAGAGACGACTGATAATTTATGTGAAATGAAGTAAATAAAGGAAAAGTAAGTAGCTTCGTGTTTTCATGGAATTGGATCTTTCAATGAAAGACTGTGAAAAAACTAATTACCCCCCCGGTGGCGTCCCTGTAGGTAAAATGACTTGTAGCTGTCATTTCACTCCTTTTTTGGAGAGGTGGAATGCACATATTTAGGCATGTGTGGTGTTAGACTATTTTGTAAACGTGGTAACTTTATTTCTGTCCTCGGTCAGGAGTCCCACGCAGCCATGATGAATTATGACGTGCGCACATCTGGAGGAGGATCTTGAAGAAAATCCATCTGTGGATCTCTGTCCGGACCCCGTCCACACACCGGCTGCAGACAATCCGAACCGAAGCCAAACTGTGACGCTTTAGTTTCAGACCATCGTTCTTACCGTTTTCTTTTCAGCGCGTTGTGCTTCTTTTTTTATGTTTACTTCCGCCCAGATTCGTGCAGAGAAAACGGTTCGGTTCGGTCCATGTAAGCTCTCTGTTACGTCTTAAAGTCGCATTCGGCTTCTTCTTTTTTTATTCTTTACTTCTCCTTTATTGTCTGTGAGGACGGACTGGAGAGGTTTTCTGGACTTTTTTGAGGGAACTCGGAGAAGCAGAATGGTGCCACAGCTACTGCCCCTGGCCTGCTGCCTCCTCTGCTCTGCCTTCACTTCTGTCTCTGCAAATGTTCTCAGAGCTGAGGTAAGAGACACGAAATACACCCCGAACCCACTTTCAACTGATTATATTCATGCTTGCATTCTTTCATATAATGACACTGAAGTTAGCTTCACTTTTTAAGGATGTCTCAGTTCAGAAAACTCAGCTGAGTCTCTTTGTTCTGAGAATAAAGGGGGATCAGTGGAGGGGGGGTTAATGAGTTTCATCTGCTTTTGTGCAGACATACCAGAAAGCTGATCTGTCTTCACAACCGACAGACTGGACATGGAACTGTAGATGTCTGTGGGCTCCCTAAAGCTCAGTTTAGTTTTCCTATAAACAACATTTTTCATCACCAGGTCTTGTGCAATGTTGCAAATATTATGGTGTGCCTCTGGATCCAAATATGTTGCATGTATGTACCACATGTGATGCGAATGACAATAAACTTGACTTGACTGGAATATTGATTTCTGTAGAGTCCCATCACCTCAGCTCTGCAACAAGTAGTTAAAACGCAGGGGTTCCCAACCCTGATCCTTGAGGAACACCATCCTGCATGTTTTTTAGTTGTTCCCCTGCTTCAACACACCTGCGTTTAATTAATGGGTGATTAACAGGCTTCTGCAGAACATGACAAAGTAATTAAATCACTGAATCAGGTGTGTTGGAGCAGGGAAACAACTAAAACATGCAGGATGATGTTCCTCAGGGATCAGTGTTTGGATGCACTTTAAAAGCATTGAGGCCATTAATGTATTCATTAACTGGCTACAAGTTTCAAGGTTCTTTATTGTCATTCACATCACAAGTGGTACAGGAGGTGGATGAAATTGTGTACCCAAGATCCCAGTTACACCCAAAATAGCAAAAATATAAAATATAAAAAAAACCAGTATATAAAGATCTAAGATATACACTAAACAAACTCTAAACGATACGCTAAAAGATCTAAAATATACATTAAAAATGTAAAATAATACAGTATTAAACAGCAGCCCGAAAACGGGTCTGTTGTGAGCAGATGGGTATGAATACAGCAGCATAAAGGCAAGAGATCAGCAGCACGGATAATCAGCAGCACAGATAATCAGCAGCACAGATAATTCAGGGTTTTTTTTTTTTTAATTTTTTAAGAAGGTTGCTTCACCAAAAAATCCAGGAATGTGATTTGCAGATTGCTGTGGAAAAAACGGACAGTTACAAAAGTATGTTTCAAGACGCACAAGACCTTAGTCACTGACCACAAGTTGTTGGCGTGTGAGCCAAAGCAGATGAGATGGATAAGTCAGGGGGTTTACAGGAGTCTTTCCGCCTGCGGCAAACACCCTGAGGCATGATGAATGTCTGTAAACAAAGTGAGGAGACCTGGATCTCCAGCATCGCAGCAGGCGCTCCATGATAATGATAATGTTCCAGCTCAGGTTTTATTGTGACACACATCAGATTACAAAAGTGCACAACACTGTCAGACACAACACCCAGAGGAGAGGCTGCAAATGATATGTTCAGGATGACCTCATCAGGTAAAACCTGTAATCAAAAGCTCCACTTGTCTCCGCGTGGAGAAAGTAGACTAAACGGGAGCTGGACTGATAGGAGAGTCTGAGACAGAACGACAACAAACTGGGATAAATGATTTACCGAAAGGGAAGAGAAACTCCTTTTACCATACCATACCACTTTATTTATAGAGCACTTAAAACAGCGACAAGGCCAACCAAAGTGCTGTACAGACAGAACAACAGGTAACACACAAAGCAAAATACAAAATGAGGTAAATCAGAATATAGACATAAAAACGATGCAGATAATGAAGCAGAGGTAACTCTTTTCAAAGTCTTGGTCCTGCTATAGAGAAGGCCCTGTCACCTCTGTGCTTAAGACTAGATCTTTTAGGAGGTTTGAAGGGACAGGAAAGTTTAATTTAGACAAAGGAAGAGGAACTGTGTGGTTTCTCAGTATTCGTCAACACGAAACCATCTTTCTGTGACTTCATGCTGACGAGATGCAAGCGCTCAATCTATAATTAAAGAAGCGAGAACCTTCATGATGGAAGTAAAACCTTCGTAAGTCCAGGAAAATAAACTCTTCTTCTCAGATCATTTAGGGGGTGGGGGGGCTTTGGAAAGGGTGTGAGCAATTAATATCTTACCTGTTGTTGATAGCTCTTTGAATGGAAAGGATGGAAAAACAATTGACAAGCTAAAGGAAAATTTTCTCTGTAGAGACTTGATGCTGATCCAAAATTTCAAGAAAATAGTTTTTTTTTTTTTTTTTTTTTACCACCAAGTGACCAGTGAGTCAGAGTCAGAGATCCTTTATTGTCATTCGCATCACATGTGGTACATGTAGTGGAGCGAAATTGTGTACACAGAATCCCAGTTACATCAAACAATAACAAAAATATAAAGTGTAAAAAGAAACAGTAAATAAGGATCTGAGATATAAACTAAGATATACGCTAAACGAACACCAAACAGTATGCCAAAAGATCTAAGTCTAAAAAAGTTCAATCTGGTCCTCTGGACATTCAAAAAACTAAACAAAGCAAGTGTTTTGCTTTGTTTAGTTTTTTTTGAATGTCCAGAGGACCAGATTTAACTTTTTTAGATTTTTCTACCTGGATTATTGAGCATGCATCAGGATAAAATATCTCAAATATATACCAGTCACTAATAGTGCAAAACAATACACCGAACAGCAGCAGCACGATTCTCATAGATTCTGTTCAGCTATAATTTACACACTTAACGCGAGCACTAACATAAACTAAACTAACATAAACTAGGATTTATTCAAAGCATGCAACAAAAATACAGAAACAACAAAAATACAGAAACAAGGCGACAAACGTGAAAAATAAATAAATCTACAGCAGCATGGTCCTGTTGGCAGAGTGGTTCTGATGACATTGAGGTTATCTTAGCAACATGGTCCAGTTAGTAGCATGACACTGTTAGCAATGCGGTTTCTCTTAGCAACATGGTCAAGTTAGTAGCATGATACTGCTAGCAGTATGATACTGTTAGCAGCATGATACTGTTAGCAGCATGATACTGTTAG